GTTCTATGTGTCATCGCATCTTAAACCATGCTTGACTTCTAAGAGTCATCTCATTATTAGTTCTTTCATTTCCTGCTATCTACGTGATTAGAATGATTTAATTGCGATCAAATGACTCTGTCGCTTGATTGTTTGGTCTCCCATACAGACCTACCTTGAAATTATTCAATCTTAGTGAGCTCTTATCTGCAAGCAGTGGCTTTCTCCCATCTATCGAACGAATCGTCGATTCGCGACGTTATTAATTCTATGTACTTTTAACTTATAAAAATTCCTTCTGTTCTGTGTCTTTTGTTCACATTGTTATTCTCTTACGTCCACACTCGGTTTACTGCGTCCTCTGGTCGACAATCATCACCGAATAGAGATGTTTGATAATAATCGCAGCAACTACACTAAACTACATTTCGAGCGTCTACCTGGATTGAACAAAAATCTATCCTATATTTAATTCAACCGTTCGATACAAAAGTAACTTCGCAATCCGGCAAAATTTGTGCTCATTACGAACATGACATATACATTAGATTTTTATGACTACGAAGCTTTATCAAAACACTCACGAAAACCACTACACAGACCGATGCACAAGACAAAGCCGAAGAATACCAAAACCCAAGGCATAGTCGGTAAGATATTTTCTCATAGCTCATCCTACAACGGACAGCTATTTTCCGAAGGGTATGTATACTGGACCGCCAGATTGGTCGTGATGCTGTGGGTATGATCTGGAAGCGATATACTACTGCAGTGGCCGAATGCGTTGTATCAGGGAAATGAACAACCAATCGGACTAGATCTGCGGTAGAAAGCGATATGACTGCGAAGTGGCTCACAAATACGAGATAGTAATGTCTTTTCTTGCGGCCAAAACGCAAGATTTCCATCTTCGCTCCCGTGGAGCTTTCCACCTTGAGTTTTACGGGACGCTCCGTGTGAATCGATGGTGTTGCCACCACTTGTGGTGGAGGAGACGGAGCAGGTGTCGGTATACTCTGGGTTATATATTCTAATAATCCTTGCTCACTAGCAGCAAAATTTGCTAAGCGATGAGTTCTCGCTTCTTTATCTAATTCGAGCACTTCGAAGATCGCACGATCTTCGAATAAAGCTCGCAGCTTCACCACATACTCAAAAGAGGAGTGTGTGGTGAGCGTGAGAATTCTTCTCTGTTGATACGAGGGCGATCAACGCCTGTGGTGTCCACATTATCCTCAGATGAATCCATCGAAGTAGTCGACGTTAGAATGACTACTAGTGCTACCAAGTGTAATGGGAATTGCCCGTCCGTATACACGCACTTACTAAAAAGGAATTGAATCGATTACCACGTTCTACCGCGTGTCTCACCTTCACTGAGCTGCCGATTGAACAGGAGGAAATGGTGAAGTGAGATTCTTTCTGGCCGACAGTCTTAAACCTTCGAAATTGATAAGTGCTTCATATTCTGATGTAGAAGATTTGAGGTATATACAACTATGCAGGTATAGTTAATGTTAATCAAACTAAAAGTATGTATGTCTGTGCGGCCATCAACATCTCGAAGCACCACGATAAAAGAGCCTCTAAACATTA